TGAAGACTTGGAAACCAACAAGAACCGCCAAACAGTTTCTGTTTCTTCCTCTTACAGTAGCAGTTCGATCTATTCCATAAAGTCTTTCATCTTTGCATTTCCATCTTTCATGAATGGCTTTTAATTAGCTCAAGCTAAGTCAAATAAAGATGTGTAAATAAGCTTGGAGTGACTAAACCATGCTGTCTAGTTTTCCATGAGCAGTCATGGTTTGGATTTTTTTTTATATATACAACCCCTCATTTGACTAGAAAAAAGGCTTTAACAAAAAATGATTTCCAAAGTAAAGACATAAGTTGTTGAAAGAGGAAGAAATGTTTAAAAGTTTTAGTTTTCTTTCTCTTTCAACTCATTGTTTCTCGTGTTGAGGTCCTGTACAAGCCATAAAACTTCAAGCTTTATGTTTTCTTTTGGTTTTTTTCTTCTATGTGGGGTTTATGTAGTCTAGTTCTTGTTAAAAATGGAAAATAGAAAATAGACCGATAGTACAAGCCTCATATGAGCTAGATGTTGCTTTTCATATTTATTTTCTTGGCCTTTTTTATTCCATGCTTTGTCCATTCAACCAGTGCATGAATCACTCATAAATGTAGGCACAATATATGTACTTACGATCCCACCATTGTTTGCTTATCATTTTTGCTATTTAGAAAGTTTGAAGTTTTTTTTTATTTTATTTCCTGTTTGTGGTTTCTTTGTTTTCGCATATGAATTGTGCTATTCATGAGTTGTAGTTAATATCACTATCACATTCCATGCAAGTTGAAAATATAAAACTATTACAGTAAACAAAAAAGAGGCATAAAACTGGAAGTTTGTTCTTTTTGCTTGTTTTCTTTGTGAAACTAGTCATGGTTATTTTGCACAAAAAAAGAGAGCTAAAGCCTCATATGTGTTGGTCAAGGATTTAAATTGTGGTAGCGATCACATTTTCGATCGCGTTGCGTTTGTTATGGTTACAGATATAATGGAAGCTTTCACAGTTATTACGGCTATCGTGATCATGAATTTTTTTTAACTTTGCTCAACTTGCTATAAAACATAATAATTTTAATTATTAATCATAAAAACTCTTATTTTATGATTTTTAAAGTAATTTATATTATGTCATGGGTTTTATTTATTTAAGAAAAAATATTTATAGTAAAATATTCATATTTAAAAAATTACTCATATGATAATTAAAAAATAACAAGAGATAAATAAATGTGTGAAAAACAAAAACTCATAACAAATGATATATTTAATTATTTAATTATCGTATTCATCAAATTATTACCGAACTATATTACACATAAATTAGCTAATAAATTATTAGATATCACAAATTAAGCAAGAGCATTACTATTTATGGGCCAAGATAAATATATTTTATAGGCCTACAGTAAATCAAACTTGGCAGCCTCCCTGCTGAAGGCAATTTTCAACAACAATAGCCTTAAATCTACTTTTTTTGTCACTTGGCTAAATTACACAACCCCATACAACTTCCCATCCCTTACCTTTCATTCAATAAATTTTTTCTCTAAACCTTCATCCTCATCCCCATCTCTCAACTCTCATTTTTTTTATGTGAGCTATCTGCTCATCTCCCTCAATCTCGAGTCTCACTCTCATCTCTTGCCTCTCATTTTAAGTCCCAGTAACTCCCTAGTTGTGCACCATAACCCAATCCAATCCCAAACACACAAAATCATAGTAAATTCTGAAATTAAAAAAAAAAAGGTAATTTAAGTGCTGAATTAATTGCTTACCTTAAACTACATATGCTTAATCTTGATTAAAGTTAAATTTGAGATAATTGATATCTTTGGAAATTTAAGTTTTGTGAGTTTTTTTTCCTGAATCTGTGAATTGATGTTTATTTTTTGGCTTGTTGTTTTTATTTTAAGTTTTTAACTAGAGTCAAATAAAAAAAATTTTCTTGAATTTTTGAATGAAAAATAAAATAGCGGGTAATAGCGGACTGCTATTGCCACTATTCAATGTTACAACACAATTCGCAGTCACGATACACCACTATTGATGAGATTCAAATTCTTATCCATTTTTTTTCAATAAAGGTGGCAGATGGTGATACTACCTTGAAATGATGGTCGTTATACTACTATCTGACCAGTATTTGAATCTTAAGTGTTGGTTATTCAATTCTCCTTCATGAGTTTACTATCAATGACCTAAAAGTTTGCTCTTCCCCTTTTGTTTGCTTGTTGTTCTCTTATGCAGTTGGTTTACTATGTTTCAGTTCTTTCCTTTTCTTGTTTAACATTTGCATATAAAAGTTTAGCTCCACCAACTTCCATGACTGTTGCGTTAAATGTCTAAGGAAGCGTAAAGCTTCACATGTCCATTTGGTTTTGCATGCTACATGGCTATTTACAGGGAGTTTTACATTTTCACCTTTCTTTTGTGATTCATTAGTGGTTGCATAAAGGCAAGTTCTAAGTTATCTTTTGGTTGTCCACAAGATTAAGAATTCATTACTTATCTTTCTTGTTTCTATTGTTCTTGTGATTGAAATGTTATCCATGTTTAAAAATGTATATCTATGATAATGACACCATGTAGGCTGTTGTGTTCTTTTGTTATAAAAATATTACTAAACATAGAAAGCCATATGAAAAAGAAACAAAGTCCTTCATGAAAGACGTGGGGACCACGGTGGAAGAGTAATTGGATTTTATGTGTTCCTTTTGGATTGATATGATTAGATTAATATAAAATAGAATGGTAATTTTGAAAACGCCTTAGTTGGAGTCTTGTGATAAATAATTTTAAAATATAAAATTTAAAGTTTGTTTTTATTAAAGTTTAGTTTTATGTGTATTTGATTTTAATTATACTCATGCAATTTGTTCATGATTGCTTAAATTCAATTGCAAGTTTAATTTTATGCATTATTGATTTCTTTATTATTTGGATCCCCATGCTCGTTTTAATTTAATCTTTCATATCTAAATTTATGTTTGATATATTTTATTTATACTAGCAATAATAATAATAATAATAATAATAGTTTTAAAGTAAGCAAGAAATATTTATGAATATATAAGTATATAAAGATCCATTTTAAAAGAATTATAAAAATGAGCTTGTTCTGAAAGTCTGCTTAGATGTTAAAAATTTCTGAAAGTCTACTTAAAACCTCAAACTTGTTTTAAATTTGTCAACCTTTTGTGAAATAATCTATTCTCGAATACCGCCTACACATTGGGGTGTTTAGGCAATTTTATTTCCTTAAGGATTTTCATACATTTCTATGGCTTAAAAATAAATCTGTTTTGTTGAAGCCATGATTATAAAAGTATAATAAGATGGGATTTTAAATATAAAAATCTGCACCCAGACTTTGCCTAGATGTTGGAGAGTTCAAGTGGTCTTTTATATTTGAAAACCCGATTCTTAAATTAACGCTTAATCATCATTTTGCATATGTTTCGTTCTTAAATTAATGTCTTCATTCATAATGCATATATATATATATGTTTACTTTAGTTATGGTTTTTTAGTATTAATTATATTATTACATTTCATTTTTTTACCACATAAAAAGTTTTCTCAAAATTTTAAATTTTTAAGGATTTGCATGAAAACCTTTTATGAAATAATCTATTCCCGAATGCTGTTTAGATGTTGGGGTATTTAAAAAATTTTATTTCATTAAGAATTTTCATACATTTTCACTACTCAAAATAAATCTATTAAATTAACAAGTTTAAAAACATAAAATAATAAAAATAATACGACGGAATGTTAAATATAGAAATTCACACCCAAACTTTGCTTAGATGTTAGAGAGTCCAAATGGTTTCTTTATATTTAAAAATTCGATCCTTGAATTCATACTTGATCATCTCTGCATATGTTTCAATTTTACATTAATGTTTTCATTTATATTGCATATATATATTTATATATATGTTTGCTTTAGTTACGGATGCTTAATATTATATTATATTATATTATATTATATTGTATTATATTATATTTCATTTTTTTCTTTACCTAAAAGTTTTCTTAAAATTTTGGTTTTAGACAAATAAAATTAAAATAACATTTTATGAAATATAATTTATTAGTACTTTACTTAGATTTTGAAGAGTCATTAATAATTATTATTTGCAAATAATGTTATTTTATTTTTAAAAGAAATTTTATATTAAATCTTAAATGAAAAGACTATTTTTGAATTCTACCTTTATATTAGAGACTTCGAAGATATTTATTTAATTTGAAGATTTTCTTAATATTCCTTAATAAAAGATTTTTTAATTAATTTTATTTCTTACAAATAAAGGGAATTATAATTAAATTTCATATAAAAAAATCATTTTTATCCAAAATTATCAATAGTACATAATTAATTGATACTAATTTTATGGGCATTGTAAGGTACTAATCCTTCCTCACACGTAATTGATTCTCAAATTTAATCTTGTTTCATAGACAAAAATCATGTTTTTAATAAAGCTTTAAACTTGTTTTATTATTTTATTAAAAAAATAAATTTTTTGAGTGATCAATCACATCTTAAAAAAAATAATTGACAACTCTCTGTGTTTTTCACGATTTTAAAATTTTATGTCTAGCGAACGAGTCTCCAGACCAATACGTTACAACAACTAGCATCCAGCATATAAATTCAACATACATATATTTCAATTATCAAAATTACTAAACATACGTTAAAAGAAAAATGAAAGAACAATACTTAATATATATAAGCTAACGAACCCCCCCCCCCCCGCCCCCTCCCAAAAAAAAAAACTCAATATAAGCTATTAATTGCACCTTTTTTTTTTTTTTTTCATTTTATATGCAAGAATTCTTTTCCTCTAAGTGTATAGTAAATTGGAAGAACAAAAGCAAAATTTAAACAACACCCGAAAAAAAAATGAAAACGAAATAAAACAAAAAAAAAAAACAAAAAAAGAGTAATGTATGGCTGTGTGCTAAAAGACTCATTCAGAGGAAAGCATTTTATCCAACGTATCCTTGAAAATCGCTACCTTCAAATATTTGCACTCTGAATTCTTCTCAGCCTGATGATTTGATCTTTTAAAATCGACCAAATTGCCTCCCATACCACCATCGAAATCCACCGCTAAATAATCAGGGACTCAGGCATCCCATTTCGTTACACAGTACCAAGCCCATCCTCCACAGGGGGACTACTCCCCCGGCAACTCTCTCCTACTCCTCCTTCTCCCGCGGCCAACGAGTCTGCGATCGGTTTAATCACCAAAATGCCCTCTCCAACCACTGCGCACATGAAAATGCTAAGGAACAGTAATAGAGCTACTCCATCAAAGGCGGTCCTGTCTGGTGTCCAGAAAACAGACAACCCCATAAACAGGATTTGCAATGGCAACCCTATGATGACTGTCAAAGCGAGGGCAAAGATTCGAACCCTGAGGGCCTTGTTGATTACATGAGAGACAACTCTCCAGAATGATAACAAAAATGACAACGTAAAGAAAGCACCAAAAATGCTGAAAAAAATGGTGCTTAGCAAGGGGTAGGCACACAAAACCGTCGTATGATCATGGTTATGCCAGGAGACGAACCAGCTCCTATGAAAAAGTTCTGGGAAACGTACCTTCGAATCCGGAAAGAAGACAAAGTAAACTTGTAAAAGGAAAATGGGAAGACACGAGGTCAAGACGAATAAAACACTGAAGAAGCTTGTTGGGGTTGTTTGCTTGACGGAGACATCAAGCAAGAAAAGTAAGGTCACTAGGAAACCAGGCTCGAAGAACCCCAAAGAGAGAACAAGGTGGACTTTACAGAGGTTGGCTTGTTGTGGCACAGTTAGCTGTGGCAAGAGAGGAAAATAGTATCGTCTGCGAAACAAGGGTAGGCGTAGCAGTTCGGTCAAGGCCCAGAACATGATGAAGAAGACAAAAACGAATCGAAAGGTCCAGAGAGAGTTGAAATTCTGCAAATGACGGCAGCCTCTGGATTTAAAACGGAGGCGAAATATGAAACAGATAGAGAAAAGAGAGAGGAGGAGGAGGGCAGCAATGAAGGAGATGGTGGCAAAATCGATGGCGGATCCAAGGACTGGTAAAGTAGGAAAAAAGAACATGGCATAAGACACGTAGGCTATAAAAGATGATGATGATGATGGCAATGGCGGAAATAGTTAGAAAATATTTGAACAGTGTAGTGGTGGCTTCGGCGGCGGTGATAGAAGGAACAAAAGTTGGAAGAAAGGGAACTAATCCAAGGCATAATTGGGCGGTCGGAAAGGGGTATTGGGGGAGAGAAGAAGGGTTGATTTCTCTCCCCTTTTCCCCACTGGCGGAAAACAGGCTATTGCACAGCTAGAAAAGATTTCTGTCAGTTTCTTTTGGAGAGAGAAAACAAAATAGACAATAAAGGAAGTGACAAGTTTTCTTGTGGTGAAATGAGATGGCTGCTATAATTTTGGGTGTCCTGTGGTTATTAATAGAAAAGCTACAGAATTTAGGATTTTGTGTTTTCAATAGAAAGCTGTCTGCGGTTTAGACAAATTTATAGGGATTTTCATGGATACATACAATGACTTTCCATATATATTTTAACCATTGAACCCGTCTCTCAAAAAAGACAGAATTTTACGTTCTAGTTTTTATTATATGATTCATTCATGGGGCAGCTTATCTTAGCTGTTCAAGGATATGCCAGGGAAGTTTTTAAGGCTTCATAAAGTAATATTAGAAGTTTCTTTTCTTTTACCTGGGTACATGAATGTTATTACGAAGAAGCCTTTTAAATTCATAGAACATTCATCCAAAGAGTTGATATATTCTGAATTCCATGCAGTAGAAACGTCAAAAGTGATTTCTTTCTTTTTTATCTAAAACTTTGTTAGGAAAGTAAAATATATGCATGACAGCCTAAGGAATAAAAATTAGAAAGATAAGGGCCAATCCACCCATCCCATCTGGTTGAATATCAGTCAATTATCTGAAGTGCTTTGTTGGCAGTGGTGTCATATTGGAGCCTTGGAAGGGTTGAAGTGATTATTTCATAAGCCTTGAAAATTTGACTAATATCTATATATATATATATATATATATATATAACGTTTGTTTCCTTTATAGGTTTAATATTGACAAATCAATAAGTAGAATAAAATTGATTGGTAAGTTAATATAGGAGAATGGCTATTTATTTTTTTATGTTTTATACTCCCACTTATTTGCTTTTTTTTTTTTCTCTTTCTCTTTCTTTTGTTCAATTTTTCTCTGCTTTTGTTTTTTTTTTTTTTTTGCAAGTATAATTTTTTTGTCATTTTTTCTTATTGTTCTTTTTTTTTCATGTTTATGTTCTTTATTTTTTGGGGTTTTTTTTTTTTTTGAGTTGATGATAAATTTGAATTGTTTTGACATTATTTGTTTGGTGAATGCATATTGTTTGTTTTATTATTTCATGCATTGTGTAGATTCTTATTTTTGTAGTTTGTAGGCTTTGGTTATATGTTTGTATTTGAAATTTTTCATGCATTGAAGGTTTTTTTTGTTAATTTTTTGTTAATTGGGTTTCCAACATAATTAAAATAGTTTTTAGGAAAACTTTGGCATTTTTTAGAGAAAATATTAGACGTGTGAGCAGCTGAATTGCATATTTTTGTTTTTTATTTTTTGGTTTTTTTTGTGTCGATGATGAATTTAAGATTGTTAAGTGATAATTTTAGTTATTTTAAAGTTCTTTTTTTAATGCATTGTTTTTATTGTTTTTTCTATGTTTTGTATTATTTTTTTTCATGCATGTTGGTTTATTCTGTTAAATGATGCCTTTATTTATTTTGGATTAATAATCGGAGGTACTTTTTTTTTTGGAATGTTAGTTTTTCCTTTTAATTTCGTGTTTTTTTATTCATTTTTGTGGGTCCTTTTTTATGAAAAATTTTAATATTTTAATTATTAATTTGAGTTGTTTTGACATTATTTGCTTGTGCATGCTTGTTGTTTATTTTATTGTTTCATATATTGTACAGATTGTTACTTTTGTGTTTTGTAGCTTTTGGTTTTGTGTTTGGATTAAGTATTTTTTCATGCATGGAGGTTTTGTTTTGTTAAGTTTTTATATATGTATATTTATAGTTTTTAGGAAAACATTAGCATTTTTTAGAGAAGATATTAGACATGTTAGGAACTGAATTGTTTTATTATTGTATTTATTTATGCAAATTAGGAGAAGATTTTTGGGTGTGGATGGTGAAGAATCGAATATAGAAGCTGTCTTTAGAGCAAAGTTTTTTGCTGGGTTTATTGTTAGAAGTTTTGTTGGTATTATTAGCTGTTCTGTAGATGTTGTTAAAAGTTAAAAGCAAATAAAAGTTTTTCTCCTTCAAAAGCTAATTGATAATTCTTAATGTTGCTATGTGTTTGTTGATTTTTATGTATGTTATTATGTATTATTTAATTAATAGAATAGCATTGTAATGATAGTATTAATCTGATTCTGCTTTGCTGTGATGACTTTATGTAAAATAGAGTTATATTAAAAAAATAGCATGAAAAATAAGTTTAATTAGGTTTTATATGGGTAATGTTGTGTTTGATCATGTTCATGATATTAATTTACTTGGTTTTCTTATTATTCAATCTTTTGGTAGTGATTTTTGGGTTTACATGTTTATACATTTTCTTCTATCACATATTGTTTCTTGATGATTTCATATCATATATTGTTTGTGTTTCTTGATGTTAATCATGCTATCACATAATGATGTTAATTATGTTGGTAAACACATAATGTAAGAAAATCATGCTATCACATAATAATGTTAATCATGTTGAATCAATGTGTTTACATATTTTTTTATTATTTTTAAGTTTGAATTGTATGTAGACAGAAGTAATGCAGAATTTATCTATTAATATAAGGTCAATGTTAGCATAATCAGAGTTTACAATCTGAGACAAGTATTTTAAAAGGTGAGTTTTTCTTTTTCTTTCTATTTTTGGTTTTTTCAATTTTTAAAGTTTTTCTTTATCTAATTGAATAAATTCAACTATTTCAATGTAATTTAACTATTTGAATACTTTTCATGAACAAAAACATAATTTCACTCTAGATAAAGCTATAGTAAGCACAATTTTTCTTGATGATCTCATATCACATATTGTTTGTGTTTTGTATGTGTTGTACAAAACTTTTTCTACTGGGTTTTGGTTTTGTGTTTGGATTAGTTTTCTTTACATTAATGGTTTTTTTTTTTTTATAAAGTTGTGATTTTTTGTTTTTAGAGAATAATTGGGGGTAGTTTCATGTTTAATTATTTTGTTTTTATACATGTTATTTTTTGGATGTTAAATTATTATCATAATGGTTGTGGATGTTACTTTTACTGGTGGTGGTATTATGTTTGTTGTAGTGGTGGTGGATGTTACGTGTATTACTGATGATTAGGCTGAAAATAATATGTATTCATGATCAAAATGTAACATAGTTGTATAAACTGTTATGAATGTTTATTTTTTAATGAGATGTTTAATTTGTAATTCTTTGAAAGTTTTATTTATAAATGATTCATCTTATTTGATCAATTTGTGGTTTTGGCATTCCGTAGTGTTTTGCATGATTTGTTTTGTTGTTGATTTAGATCTTTTTGGTGTATGTTTTAGTGGTATTAGTTATTTACAATGATTTTGATCATGTAGAATAGTGGTGGTGTTAAAGGTTTGATATTGGTAAACTTACTTTGATTTGAACTTTAGCTAAGTTTAAGGTTCTTTCATTATAGCATTGCTTGGTTGGTTTCAATAGAAACCATTTCTTATTTAGTTGGTAAAGCTAGATTTGACTTAATGCTGACTTAATCCACAAAGGATAATATAATGTTGATAATGGCTTTTATCTCAATTACAATTGAAGTAGTAAAAACATGCAAATCCAGGCCACTGCTAGTGGCAAGCACCACACACTGCTTTTTCTTATTTCCTGCACCGGTAGTCACAGTCATTTGAGTTGAAACACACGTCTTTCCATGTCTTGCTATGCTTTGAGCATAGTTTTGCTTCTACAGCTGGTATTTTTGTAAGACACAAAATATATATAATCTTTTGTTAAAGAATCCAAGTAAGACTATATATATATATATATATATATATATAGCTTGGGATCCAAATTAATACATGTGAAAATATCCACGTACCTTAATTTGCAAGAAGGATGATGATGATGAAAAAAGCAAAGAAGTGGATAGATTCAAAAGTCTTAGCCATGTTTTCTTACTTTTTCCAAAGAGCTAGGATGTTGGGCTATTTATAGGATACGTTGTTTGATGGATAATAAAACAAATGAAGGATATGAACAAAGATGATATATCAATCACCATATCATTCAATTCCAAGTTTAGTATTCCAAAATCCATGCTCTTATTGTTTTTGAAGTCAAAATATTACTGGTACTATGTTTGAGTAAGGTTCTGGTCGACTTCAAATTTCATTACTGCTTGATTCTTGTTAGTTGTTGGGTGATATGCTATGGCTTAAAGAAAAAAGCATACATAGATTATGATCGCCCGAAGTTGAAGCCACTAATCTGCCACAATATATTTGTATCTTTTGTTTCAAAGAGAATGGTGAAAGATAGAATATATGCATCAATGAAAATTCAATGATAATAATATATAATTGTATTGATCAATGATCAAGTTAATTATCTTTATTAAGATAATAAGATCTAATCAACAAAATTAAAGGAGATAATTAACATCTAATCAACAAGTTTTTCTTTTTTTTTTTCTCGGCATTTCTCTTTTCCCTTGTTTATATAAAAAGGATATAAGAAGATGAAGGATTTATTTTATTTGTTTAAGCTTTAGGATGTTCATAAAAAAAAGAATCAAAATAAAGGAAGCAAAGAAAAAAAATTAGTGAGATTCAACTCAATAATCTAGGAATCCAATGTGTGTTGATACGAGGGTGTGGGTAGGCAAGCAAACCAAAGGCATAATTCTAAAATCAAATCATCATAAATTAAGAATTACTAGATTGGGTTTGTTTAGTTTTTTGGATTTTCTTTAATTGAAATAGTAGAAAAAATAATAACTAGGACTCCAAGACCAATTAAAGAAAATCTAAAAAACTAAACAAATTTTACTTCTGATTATGATACAGAAAATGAAGATGATGCTTATTGTAATAATCATGTATTTCACTATTTGATTACCAAATAAACGTTGGAATAAATCTTAGCTTGATAAAGAATTAATCACACACTACTACCATGAATTACCATATCATTTTACTCATAAATAAAATTGAATAAACAATGTATTTAAATTACCTACTAACAATTTTTCATCATGTTATATATACGAAATATTCCTGCTTCTTTCCATAAGTACCTACCAGATTAACATACTTTAATGAT